CGACGACGACGACGACGACGGCGGCCACGACGACGACGGCGACGACGACGACGACGGCGGCCACGACGACGACGGCGACGACAAGGACGGCGGCGGCGACCCGACGACGACGAGGCGGCGGCAGCGGCGACGGCGGCGGCGGGGGGCGGCTCGCGTGCAGCGGGTGTCCGGCGAAGGCGGCCACCTGCGGCCCCCCTCTCTCTCTCTCTCGTCTGCTGGGAGAGGCCAGGCCTTCGCCGTCGCCGTCGAGGGGGCTCTTGGCGCCCGCCCGCCCGCCGTGGCCCCGCCGGTCGCGGCGCTGCCTCGCGGCTTCGTCGGGGGCCCCTCCCGCCCGCCGGGTCGCGCGCCGCCGTCGTGGCCGGCACGGCGAGGGGGCCTCGCGCGGGGGCCTCGCCGATCGCCTGCCCTGGCCACACGAGTTCGGCGCGCGCGGCGCTGGTAGCCGCGCCGCTGGGACGACCTGTCGTCCGCTATCGATTCTCTCTCTCTCTCTCTCTCTCCCTCTCCTTCTCTCTCTCTCTCTCTCTCTGTCTCTACCCCCTCTCCCTCTCCCTCTCCCTCTCCCTCTCTCTCTCTCTCTCTCTCTCCCCTCCCACCATCGCAATCACCTTTTCCAACGCTTTCTCGCCGCGGCGGAACGAACCATCTGCATCGACTTCCGAGGAGAGGCCTGGGGACAGGAGGGTGCACAGCCAAAGTCTTGCCTTCGGGGAGCTTGCATACGGATCGACACTCCTTGTGGGCCGCCCTCGCGCCCAGAAGAGCGATGAGCGCCACGGGGGGAGACCCCTGGGAAGACCTCAAGGATCGGGCCCCTTTCGCAGCCAGAGTGGGCCGCATCCCAAAAGGTCTGGCCGCATTACAACATCCGTGGTGCGTCGTGAGCTTACTCTGGCCTTTCCGTTCGACAAGCTTCGATTAACGGAGTTCGCACGATAAACTAAAGAAGACCTATTCTGGCGAAGGACCCAACCACATGCATCTGCGCGTACTGCGAGGCAGGTGAGACGAAGGAGGAGGTCCACGAAACGTGTGAGGGGTGTGCCAGAATGTATGCGGTGTCGCCATGCGGACGCTGCCACTGGGGCACTCAGTGGAGCTCCCTGCTCGGCCACGAAGCGTGTGACGGGTGTGCTGACATGGGCGCAGTGGTGCCATGCAAACCCTCCCACTGGGGCCTTCGGTTAACCGCCCTATGGGGCCACGAAACGTGCGAGGGGTGTGCCAAAATGGGCGCGGTGGCGTCATGCGACCCCTCCCGCTTGGCCCTTCTGGAGAGATCTCTATGGGGCCACGAAACGTGTGAGAGGTGTGCGGACATGGGTGCGGCGGTGTCGTGCAGGCCCTCCCGCTGGGGCCGTCGGTGGAGCCCATTGGACCTCCCTACGAGGCCACGCAACGTGTGAGGGGTGTGCACGGCGGTGGCATGCAGGCCCTTCAAGTGGAGCTTTCGGTGGAGCTCCTTATGGGCAGCGAAACGTGCGAGGGGTGTGCCGACATGGGTGCGGCAGTGGCACGCAGGCCCTCCCAATGGGGTATTCAGTGCAACGTGTGAGGGGCGTGCCGAAATACGCGCGGGTGTGACACGCAGGCCCTCCCACTCGCGCCGTCGGTGGAGCTCCCCATGGGGTTGCGAAGCGTGTGAGGGTTGTGTGCCTTAGGCACGGCAATGACATGCGGGCGCTCCACTGGGGC